TCATACTCTTGCACGGTGTGCTACGCCCCATTTTGTCTCATGGAGCTGTACACCACCCAGTTGTATCGCACATTTGATTTCTTCTGAATGAAGTTTTGTTTGCCATCAAAAAAACTCATAAACAATAGGAAAATGAAGTACAACTACAGATTTAAGATTAGTACCTGGAAAATACGTACTCATGGATTCTAGACTGGGTTTTGTATATGTCCTATCTCATCTTTAGGTTCTTAGTGGTGGTAGCATCTCCAGAGCATTTCCCTTTCCTTTCCTCCTCTATCGCAGCATCTTCTTGCTGCTTCACGGCTCAAAGATCCATGGTCGGGAGCTAAGGTTTTGAACCCTAGTCCCGACATTGTCTACTGTATTCCCTTCTTTTTCCTCCCTATTCTGCCATTTGATCCATCAAAGATGATGAATTGTAGATGAAAAATCAAATTGCAATTTTGGGTTTTCGATCATCTAGATCTGATGCGGGAAGAATCTGATACATCGCCATGAGGCGTTGGTCTCTATGAGCCTGTGATGGTTTGGGTAAATTTGATACGGAGTTATAATAATACTCTGTATGGGGTAAGAGTAATGGCCAAATAGCATCAATACTCCCATGGTTTGCAAAATAGGTACCAATATCCTCTTTGTTTTCAAAACTTATTTCTAAAGTCTTTTTGGTTTCAAAATGATGCACCCGTGCCCCCTCTGATTATTTTCCTATCATTTTTCCGGAAAAGAAGGGGGGCATTGGTGCGTATTTTCTAAATGGTAGGGGGAATCAGTGTTGATATTTATTTCTCATTTATTTTTTGTTTTTTCTATTTTTTCCTTTATTTGTTTCATTTATTAATAAAGGTTTTTTAAAAGTTATTTTGATAATGTTCTTAAAATTTAAAGTTATTTTTGTTTGAAAAAATTAAAATATAATGCATGTGTACGTCTCACATTAATAAATTTTGTTATTTCTAAAAAAAAGTAAAAATTTGTTTCAGAACTTCAAAAAATGAGGAACAAAATTGTTAGACAAGGCGTGCAACTCTAGAGGGGGGTGAATAGAGTTGTTGAGAATGATTACCGATTTTTGCAGGATTAATAAAATAAACGTAAGTGCAGCGGAAATAAAAGAGAGAAGGCAAAGAACACACAGATGTATATGGTTCACCACCTCGTGGCTAGTCCAGTTCCCCGAGAGACTCTCTCGAAGCTACCACTACTTCCGTTAAGCTTACGGGTGCTTAACAAACCGTTTACAACTCGAGAACTTGAATCCCACAAGCCTCGACACAACCGCTCGTAGATATGCTCTCTACAAGACTTCACAACCAAGACTTAAGTCACATAAGTCCTGAAAAACAAGAAGAACAATCTTCTTCAACCTATCAAGATAAACTCTCAAAAGAGTAGAAATGAGAAATGATTAAAGCTCTATGGATGACAAAACACTCTCTTGAAAACACTTGGTTTTCTCTCAAAATATATCAATTTGAGGAAGAATTGAATGGAGAATTATAACCTCAAGATAGGGGAGTTTAGGAGTGCTTCTTATTATCAAAAATGACCAAGGAAGGCTGTTTAAATAGGAGTTGAAGAAATATATTTGTTGGTCCAAGAAAAGAAGCTGTGCTGAAAATATGCAGCATAAAAATCG